TCCCTCTGCAATGCTCAGATATGCGAGCTGCTGTGATGCTTTTGTTCACGCGCACTCATCAGTGCGAGCTGGCAGCAGTGCCGATGTGGAGCAGGCGTTTCGCGCACGCCTGAGGCTCCATTCGAGACGGCGCGCTGCCATCTGCAAGGCCTGGACGGAACTGAGAAACAACGGGGTCGCCACCGGGGGTGCGGGGGCCCGAAAAAATCAGCATCATCATCATCATTATCATCAACATCATCATCATCATTTCCACAGCCATTTTGGCTCAAGGAGCCGCGCCAGTGCGGCAGCAGTTCCCCCGTTCGAGCTTCGCGCTGTTCGGGCCATTTCCCCCTCAGCTGGCCCGTTTGAGCCCCGCGCTGCTCGGGCACTCGTGGCAGTCGCGGCGCTGGGCGCTGCTGTCGCCCTGGCGCCGCTGGTTCGAGCGGCAGCCGAAGGCGCGGCAGCGGGGGGCGCTGCGAGGCACGGCATCGCGGCCGCCGTGGTCGCCGCGGCGCGCGTCGGTGTTGAGCTGACTGGGGGCTGGATTGCAGATGGAGCTGGCGATGATGAGGACGCCGAGCTCGCCCTGCGGCTTCGGGCCATCAGGCCAGCCCTGGCGCGCCGGATCCGCGGCGAGAAGGCTTCGGGCGCCGAGCGGGCGACTCGGAACTTCGGGGCCCACGCCTTCCTCGGTGAAGGCGCCGAAGTCCTCGAGGCCGCGCTCGAGCGGCCGCAGGCCAGCCAGCGCCGTGGGCGGTCTGGCGCCCTCGCCCCAACGGATCTGGGGGCTTTCAGCCGTCTTCCCCCTGAGGCGGGATGGCGACCCAGCCTGGAGGCGGGGCGCCGCAGCATGGCGCCGCTCACAGACGAGTGCGGCTACAACTGCAATGCGAAGAACGACGATGACGGACACCAGCAGCACGTGGATGAACAGCAGCACGTGCAGCTGCACAGCCAGTACGAGATCAAGTACGGCGTCAGCGACGAGGAGCCCGAGGGCTACGACAGCGATGGCGGGCCCGATGAGGTCAGGTTCGAGTCCAAGCCCGAGCTCGGCGAGTGCGCTGGCGACGGAGCGCAGGACGACGATTCCAGGCACGTCGACGACGACGCCCTCGGCGACGCCTGCGCGGGCGAGGACGGTCTCGGCTCGGGCGTGGTGCAGGCGCCCTTCGGCACCAAGCACGACGAGCCGAGCGATGTGCAGGACGAGGGCGAGTACGAGGAGTGCACGGACGCGAACCTGGGCGATGGCGTTGGCGCGGCGTCGGGCCCCGCCAAACCAGCGTCGGTCAGGCGGCCGTTGAGGCGCGGCCGTCGGCCCACGCGGGAAAGACCGACGGCGTCGGCCGCCGCGCCGGCGAGCGCACGGGCACTCAAGGCGACGGAGGCAGCCGAGCCCGCCACGCGCGCAGCATGGAGAATGGTTGCGGGGCGGGGGAGGGCCGCGACCCGCGGCATTGCCTTCGTCCTGGCGGATCGTGCGCGGTCGGCGCCTGAGGCGGTTCCTCCACCCCTCGCCTCTGGCGCGCAGTGGCGGCAGTGGAGGCTCGAGGAGCTCGGGCGGGATGGCGGCCCGAAGGCGCCCAGCGCCTGCCCGCCGACCAAGGCGGCGAAGGGGGTGAAGTGCGAGAGGGACTCGACCGACGATGACGAGGCTGCAGGCGGTGAGCCTCTTGCCGGCGACCCGTCAGAGTACGTTGTCAAGCACGACGGGCGCGTGCAGCCAGGCGCTGCGCAGCCGGACCTCCAGGAGAAGGTCGGGATCGGCTCCGCGGGCCCCACGAGGGACGTGCACTTCGAGGAGGAGTGCACGTGGGTGGACTCCCAGCGGGCCCAGGAGCAGGAGTCGGCGGCCCAGGACAAGGCTGCATCGGAGCACGCTCTCGTCGAGACGCCGATGCACGTTGGCGCCCGGGCGGTCTCCGAGCAGCAGTCCGACGTCAACCAGCAGCGCGACTCCGAGCAGCCCGAGGAGCAGCAGCAGTTCCCTTCGGAGCGGGCGGAGCTCGCGGCGCTGCGGTCCAAATACAATGGGCCGATGGCCGGGGTTCGCGCCGCCTTGGGCGCCAAGCTGCGCGCAGCCCGCGAGGCCGCTGACGGGCGCGATCTGCCCCGACATTTTTCTGGCATTTCTTCTGCCGCGCCCGCGCGGCATCTGCCTAAATGTAATTGTGGCGCCCTGCGGCTCGGGGCCCATCGGTCTGCCGAGCGCGGCGCCGTGTGCTCGCGGCGCCAGGCGGGCCCCAGGATCACGAATGCCTGCGACGAGCTGGCGAACTTCGGGGGGGGGGGGCCCGCGGCGTAGGCCGTGCGCCTCGGGGCTCGGCACGCGTCGGGGTTCACTCACTCCTGCCCCTCCTGGGCTCGCTGCGTTGCTCTGTCCGTGCCGTTTGGCACGTCAAGTGGCGCTTGCGTTTGCAGCTTTGCTACGTACCAGCCCGCCTGTCTTGTGCACTGTTCTCGCGCCAGGGCGGAGGCCGAACCGAGGGGGTAGGTGGCTTGCTGCTGGCTCCCTGGGTCGCCTCCGAACGCCAACGCAGAGCAAGGTTGTCCAGCTGGCGGCCAGGAGCCATGGGGGTTGTGTTGCTCTGCTTTGGCGCGTGTGTGCTGCTGTAGCGGGCTGAGTCCCCGTGGCTGCTCGAATGCCCTACTACCGTTTGCTTCGGCTGGGGTGGTGGGTGGCCTCTTGGCATTCACGTGAATATGCGAGGGTGCGCTGAAGCTCACGAGACCGAGCATTGCCGCCGCAGGGCCAGAGGGAAACGCTTCGGTCCGTGGGGCAGTACGAGCTAGGAGCACCTGACCTCTTCAGACGCGTGGATCATCATCATCAAAATCGTCATCACCACAGTCGTCATCAGCAGCAGCATCGTCATCGCCATCGTCATCTTCATCATCGCGCCTCCTCCTAAGCATCATCATCACCATCATCATCGTGATTAACAGCATCGCTATCGTAAGCACCATCCTCATCATCATCAGCAGCATCACCACCGTCATCGCCATCATTACTGCCGCTTCTCATCCGCCTCCTCCACATCGTCACCATCACCGTCATCGTCCGTCCTCGTCCTCGTCATCATCGCTATCTCGATCATCATCATCATCAACGTTAGCAACATCATCATCATCACTACCCATCACCATCACTATCGTCATCAGCAACCGCATCAGCATTATGATCGTTCATCCTCCTCTTCCTCCTCCTCCTCCTCCTCCTCCTCCTCCTCCTCCTCCTCCTCTTCTTCGCTTCCCATGTCAGGACGGAGGGGGGTAAGGGACAAGTAGTATGGAGGAGGGGGCCCGTTCAATGAAACACATTAAGAACTTCCGATAGTGAAAAGCAATAGTACAATTTGACATTCAACAACAAGCTCATCGATTCAACGACAAGAACCAACACAATAACAATCAAGATAGCATGCATCACATTCAAGACAATAGCGATACCCCGTCTTGGTTCCACGAACCCTGTGACGGTACCCAACACCCAAGACCTACAACATGTGTGAGGGCACCGATGAAATTATGTTCGTGCCTTCTGGCTGCCTGGGCGAATCTGGGTTCGAGAGCCCAAAGGAAATCCGAAGACACGAAGAACATTGATTTTCGGTTTATCGGGCGCCCTCACAGTTTTTTTGTTTTTGTTGTTTAAAATGTACCCGCAGAGGGTTCGTGGACTCAAAGGAGTTCACATGTTGTTTTTGGGCGTATGGATGTCTGATTGTTCTTGAGTGTATGGAATTCGGATTGTTTTCGCTTGTATGGGCTTCGTCTTGTTTTGAGTGCAAGGTTGCCTGACGGTTTTTGACCGTACGTGTTTCTTGTTTCTACTTGTACAAGAGAGGAGAAACCTCACGCGCCGCATAGTCCTAAATCTCCCCCCCAGCCCCCCACCCACCTGCCCCCAGCCCAAAATGAAGTTCTGGACATCCTGGGGGTGACACGGGGGGGGGCGCCCAGTCCTCTCCCACGCTTCCTCTGCCCTGGATCAAGCCGGGGATCGGCGGGTCCAAGAGTCCACCGAGCGGGTCGCCGGGTGCGAGGGGTGCGTGAGGGAAGTGTCGGACCTGGAGAAGCCGTTCGCGGAGGGAGCAGAAGAGATGCCAGTGGAGGAAGTCGGGGCCCACGTAACCGACGGAGGTCCCTTGTTTTGGTCCCCCGCCTTTTTCTCTCGGCGGTGAATCGGGCTCGTCCTAAATAGAACTGGCTTTTCCTCTTCCTGTTGTTGCTGCTACTGCTCCTCCTCTTCTTCCTCTTCCTCCTCCTGCCCCCTCCCCCACTCGTCCTTCTACTCCTCCTCCTCCTCCGCCTCCTCCTCCTCCTCCTCCTCATCCTCCTCCTGTCGTCGTCGTCGTCGTCGTCGTCGTCGTCGTCGTTGACGGGTATGAGCGCCAACAGGGGTCAGCAACCCCCCCTCGGGCGGACCCGAATTTGGGAGCCAGGTGGGGCGGATTTACCCTTTTCCGCCAGCCGCTGACCTGGGCTTGGGAGCTACTCAGCTGGAGACTGTTTTTTTTATGAGGTTTGTCAGGGTCCGGTGATAGCCCGAGTTATCCGGTACGTTTGCCCCCCCTCCTCCCACAGAGAACCTGACCTCGTCGGTTGCGCAGGCCCGGAGGGGTACGCAGTAGAGGTGCGCGCGGGCCCACGTGGTGCTGCCCACATCGACGAGGTTGGATTGTCGGCCGTCGCCTCCCCTGCCCCGCACCCCCATCTCAGGCGACCGCAAACATGGGTCAACGGGGCGTGGATTAACGACGGGTCCCTTTTCCATGGGAGATTGTTGATTTCCGCCGCCGAACGAGGCGGCACCGGCCCCATTTGGGGGAGGGCACCTCCACCAGATCCATGGACTTGGCGACCGCGCGCTAAATCCGTGGATCGCCAAACCATGTTTGCGCGCCCCCGACCATCGGATGACCCGGGTTGTCGCTGAAAAGCAAAAAGCGAATTCGTGCTCGCTGGGCTTCGCGACGGGACCCCCCGAGGAAGCCAGCAGCATGCTGGAGAAGCTCGAGGCCGCAGTGCAGGCTGCTCACACGGCCGTCGGCGGCGCCAAGACGTTCCTCGCCATGAAGCGGCTCGCTGCCAAGAGGCTCTCCGAGGGCGCCTCGAGGCCCGCCTCCGAGGAGCTGTCGGCCCTCCAGGCCCGTCTCGACGCGGCGGCGAAGCGGCTCACGGAGGCAAAGAAGGGGATGTCGGAGCGGAAGTTCGCGACGGTGAGGCGGGAGGTGGCCTGGAAGGTGGGCGAGGCTCGAGGAGGAACAAATGACACACACGTCCATGTTCAGAGCTACGAGCGGCCATCTCGGAATCGGCTCCGGGGAGGGAGGGAGGCACAGAGCCGATCCAAGAGATCCGAGCGCAGCTCCGACAGTTTGTGCAGTTTCTCGAGAGGCGGAGAAGAAGGTGGAGGCAGCCGTGGAGGCGACGAAGGCTCTGTCCGACACCCCAGACATGGCCCCCGATCAGATGAAGAGTTGCTGCGAGAAGGCCGGCAGCACGCAGTCCGCGGCTCACAGTGAGATCTCGTCGGCCAGGACCTTGCTGCTGAACAGGCAGAAGGACGCAAAGGTCGTGACCGCGGACTCCGCCTTCCTGACCGAGCTCGGCAAGATGATGGAAAGGCTGTCGAAGGCGCAAACCGAGCTGGAGAAGCAAAAGGGACTCCTGCGGGACCAAGAGCACCGCTTCGTGGCGACGCGCCTGCTGAAGGACGCCACAGACATCATGGACCAGCTGGACAAGAAGCTGAAGGAGGCGCTGGAACTTGCAGCGCCCCTCGCCTCGGACAGGGTCGAGGACTTCGCCGGCTCCGTGTTCCTCCAGCACGCTGTCGACGTCCTAAGAGCTCACATGAAGACGACGCAGAAGAGTCCGAAGGCGGTGTTCGACGAGATGAGCGAGGGTGCGGAGCTCGTGGGCGCGGAGCGATTCTCGTCCTTCCTGGGCGGGCTGCCCGAGGCGGCGGCCCCGGAGGGCGAGGGCCTCTCCGAGGAGCAGCTCGGTGCCGCGTACAGCTGCCTGAAGGGCAAGGACCCGGCATCGCTCGGGCGTGTTTTTCCGTTTCTGCGAGGGCCATCGAAGGGTATATTTGGATCATCTTACGAAACATGCGCGCGAAACCGAAACACGCACCTCCTCCTCCTCCGCCTCCTCCTCCTCCTCCCTCCTCCCTCCTCCTCCTCCTCCTCCTCCTCCTCCTCCTCCTCTCCTCCTCCTCCTCCTCCTCCTCCTCCTCCTCCTCCTCCTCCTCCTCCTCCTCCTGCCCCTCCTGCTGAACTTCCGAGCGATGGCCAGAGGAGGAGGGGCTGTCGGAGCGGGCGTTCGTGGACCATCTCCGCACCAAGTTCATCTGCGCCTCGGTGGTCTCCATCACCGACGTGCTGCCGCTGAAGGAGGGCAAGACGGTCCGAAAGCTCGAGCTGAACGAGATTGTCGAGGCGCTGGAGGAGCCGGTGAAGGAGGAGTCTGTTGGCCTCATGAGGATGAAGGTCCGGGCGGAGAAGGACGAAAAGGAGGGCTACGTCACGCTGTCTGGGAATCAGGGCACCCGGTACTTGGAGCCGTACTCTCCTTTCGCGGCTTGCCAGAAGGCGATGGAGTTTCTCTTCCTCCTCCTCCTCCTCCTCCCCCTCCTCCCTCCTCCTCCCTACCTCCTCCTCCTCCTCCTCCTCGCTCCTCCTCCTCCTCCTCCTCCTCCTCCTCCTCCTCCTCCGTCCTCCTCCTCTCCTCCTCCTTTCTCCCCCCTCCTCCCTCCTCCCCCGTCCTCCCTCCTCCCCGCTTCTCCTCTCCTCCTCCTCCTCCTCCTCCTCCTCCTCCTCCTCCTCCTCCTTCTCCCCCTCCTCTTTACACAGTGTGACAATCTGTACACTACTCTCCTCTCTCCCCTGGTGACATTCGGGAAATGGCCCGCCCCCCTCGCGTACGGGTTTTTTACACACCAGATTCCCGGGAAACGGGTTTTGCTTGGGTTTGCTTGTCAAAATCTTGTTGTCGCTGAGGCGCTGGCTTCATTGGCGGGCGACCGCTCGTTCCGAATCGTGCTCCCGCTGCGGCGCTGGCGTCATCATTTCCAACGCCATGCCACGGCATGGTTTTCGGTCCTTCCAAATAGGCCCCACAATCTAGAACATGGGCCCCGAAAAAACCATCGGATGTGATTACACATTCGGTGTCGAGTCGTTCATTGTCTGGGTCGCAGAAGCACCCACTTTGGGTTGTCGCCATGCCATGCTATGTCAGTCTCCGCGTCCTCCGAATCGTGCTCCCGCTGCAGCGCTGGCCTCATTTCCGCGCTTCCGCTCGTTCCGAATCGTGCTGCGGCTGCAGCGCTGGCGTCATTATTTCCAACGCCATGCCACGGCATGGTTTTCGGTCTTTCCAAATGGGCCCCAAAATCTAGAAAATGCCCCCGAAAAAACCATCGGAAGTGATTAATTACACAGTCGGTGTCGATTCGTTGATTTTCTGGGTCGCAGAAGCACCCACTTGGATGAGGTTCGGCAATTATATGACAGGAGGTCCATCGAGAACACCAGCCGAAATCTTCGGACAAATTTCAGCAGGAAACTTAACCTCCCCAAAACTTCAAAACATCTCTAAGCCAAAACCTGCGAAAACTTCAAACTCTAAAAACACTTCAGAATATCTCTAAGCCAAAACCTGCGAAACTATCAAACTCTAAAAACACTTTCCAAACAGCTCAACACCAAACTCTGCAAACTTCTCAAACTTTAAGCCGGAGTTTGTATTTAGAGTTTGTTTTTAGAGTTTGCCCAGAGTTTTGTTGAGTTCGCCAGGCGGTCAGAATTTTGTTTAGAGTTGTTGTTTAAGTTGTCCCGGAGTTTTTTAAAAGTTTGTTTTGTTTTGAGTATTTAGGCGCTTATATTGTTTTAGAGTTTTGGTTATAGAGTTTTTAGGCGTTTAGAGTTCACTTAGAGTTTGTGTTGAAGAAATGTTTTGGAGTTTTTAGAGTTCCAGTTTGTTTTTGCAGTTGTTTAGGGTCTGACAGTTTCGCAGGTTTTGGTTTCGAGATGTTTTGAAGTTGTTGCAGAACTTGAGATGTTCGTAGTTTGTGGTTTAGATATTTTTGACGTGTTTTTAGAATCTGAGATTTCCGCAGGTTTTGGTTTAGAGATGTTTTAAAGTTTTTTGTTGAGTTTGAGTTTCTTCGCCCGATATGGCGGTGGACCGCCTGTAGTCGCTATTGCCGAACCAAATTCTTGGGGGCGTCGCCACGCCATGCTATGTCAGGCTCCGCGTCCTCCGAATCGTGCTCCCGCTGCAGCGCTGGCCTCATTTTCGCGCTTCCGCTCGTTCCGAATCGTGCTCCGGCTGCAGCGCTGGCGTCATTATTTCCAGCGCCATGCCACGGCATGGTTTTCAGTCCTTCCAAATGGGCCCCAAGATCTAGAACATGCACGTCATGTTGTGTCATGCTACGCGTTGATCTTCAACACCATGGTATGCCATGTAATGCTATGCCATGTTACGACATCCGATTACGCGAATGGAGAGGAGACCTACGCCATGGTAAGGCATGCGAGGGAGGGGTAGGACGTCAGATATGACGCGAGCGCACCTTGCTTGTCCCTCCCCCCTCCTCCCACTTCTCCCTCCTCCTCAGCCTCCTCCTCCCCCTCCCCCTCCCTCCTCCCTCCTCCCTCCTCCCTCCTCCTTCCTCCCTTCCTCCTCCCTCCTCCTTCCCCCTCCACTTCCTCCTCCTCCTCCTCATCCCTGGCTCCCTCCTCCCTCTCCCTCCTCACGAGAGTCCGCACGTTTTTGCATATGCCTGGCTAGTCCATCGCACAGGTTCGTCGTAGCTCCGACGCATAGCTCGATGGAGTTCTGCCTCCTCATCCTCCCTCCTCCTCGTTGTCCCTCCTCACGAGAGTCCGCACGCTTTAACATAGGCCTGGCTAGTCCATCGCTCAGGTTCGTCGCAGCTTCGACGCATAGCTTGACAGGAGAATCGGCTGCAGGACCATATGTAGATTTCGTTGTGAACTGACCACAGCACACCAGAGGATGTATTGACCAAGCATGGCCGCGAGGAGTGCTTGCTTATGAAAAATCCTCCTCAGTCCTCGAGCACCATCGGCTCCTCCTCCTCCTCCTCCTCCTCCTTCTCCTCCATTCCTAATGCCACTCTTTTACCCTCCCCTCCCAAAACGGCACAGCGAGGTGGTGGAGCTCAGGCTGAAGCAGCTTGCCGACTCGGCCCGGGACGCCGGCAGGTATCCTGACGCTTGTGGCAGACCCCGCCACCGTGCCAGCGCAGCATTGGAGTGCATGCAGCACGGGCTCGGCAGAGCCAGCTCGAGGAGGAGGAGGAGGAGGTGGAGGAGGAGGAATGCGAATGGAGGGTGGCAGGGATGGAGGAGGAGGAGGAGGAGGAGGAGGAAAAGGAGGAGGACGAGGAGGAGGAGGAGGGCGAGGAGGGCGAGGGAGGAGGGAGGAAGGAGGAAGGAGGAGGGAGGACGAGGAGGAGCGTCACTACAGTGCAGCGCGGCGCGGCCGCTGCGTTGCACTGTCGTCGTGTTGCCTCGTTGGGAGCCCGTCTTGGAAGTCTGCTGCGAAGGCCTCTTAAAAAAAGCCCCCAGCAGGGGACGCCTTTCGGGGGCACGTGGGTGCCTCTTGGAGGTGTCTTGGGGCACCTCTCGGGGCACCTCTCGGAGGCGTTTTGGAGCATTGTTTCGCTGTAGACTCTGGCACCTCTCGGGCGCCTCTTAGGCGCCCCTTGGGGTCTTCCTGTAGGCTTTTGGGGGGCGCCCCTTGGGACCTTCCTGAAGGCCTCCCGGGGCACAAGGCCCTCCCAGGCTGGACGGCTCTGCCGAGCGGTCCCGCGCAGGCTTGGCAGGAACAGTTCGGACGCGCCGGGTCAGGTCGTGGGTCTGCCTTGGAGCCCTCCCCATTGGGGCTCTGGGATGCTGGACACTGGGACATGTACACCTCAGGCGATGCTTAAGAAAACCTAAGTTTTCGGCCAGAGTCTCGATTATTCTTAATGTTTCAATGTAAATCCCAAGAGTTTGATAGAAATGCTGGGTTTTCATTCAAGTTCAGAGACTATGAATTTCTTAACCCATGATTTCTTAAGCATTTCGCAGGGTGTACATTTAGGGGATAGAAGAGTGACATAAGCATACAAACTCTGAGGTCCGCGCGGATTTCTCGGATCGGCGCTGGGGCCCCCCGGCGGCGCCTCCGGCGCCGACCCTGGCGCGCTCCGCGCCAGGGAGGGAGGTCCTGCGCAGGTCTACGAGATTTGCCCGGATATTCGAAAGGGTAATGTTCATGGCATTTCTTCTTTTTCTAATGTCGGAATTTGGAATATATATATATATATATATATATGTATATATGTGTATATGTATATGTATACCTTTGCAGTGGCGGGCGGTTGTTCAATCTCAGGACTTTGCGAGCGTCGGGGACGACGTCGGAGTGGTGTGGTGTAAATTGTTGTTCCCCGTGTCCCGGGGAACAGCGACAACTGTGTACACCAGGGTTCCGTCTGCACCAGGATCCGCTTGCCTGTGCAAGTGTCAGTGCAGGGCCAGAAAAAGCGTCGGTGCATTGAGCTTGTTTCCCTAAGATGCGCCCTTCTGGGCCTGGCGATGGGAACGACATCGTCGGGGAGCCGCGCAAGCAGGGGCGCCGCGGGCGGCGGCCCCACGACATCTGCAGACTCCCCTCCAGACGGCCCAGAGGAACTCTATCGGGCCCCAGCGAGCCGAGGGCCTGGTGGCGGACATAGAGCAGAAGGGCAAAGAGCTCGCGACTGTGCGGACCGGCCCCTTGGCCGAGACCAAGAATGAGCTGCTGCAGATGCGGCCCCGCGTCGGCAGGGTGCGGGCCGAGCACGAAGCCTTGAAGCAGAAGGTCGCTCAGGCCGAGAAGCGGCAGGCGGAGTGCATGGAGGCCTCCTCCTCCTGCTCCTGCTCCTCCTCCTCCTCCTCCTCCTCCTCCTCCTCCTCCTCCTCCTCCTCTTCCTCCTCCTCCTCCTTTCCGCCTCGAGGCCGAGAGGAGGCGCCGCAGGGATGCCGCCGACGAGAGAGCCGCGGCCGCCGTGACCTCCGAGGCGGAGCGGGTGGTGTCTGCGTGCCAGGAGGCGGTCGAGGCGGCCCTGGCCGCGGCCAGGGGCCTCGAGGCCACTCGGGGCAGCGAGGAGGAGGACCCCGTGGCGGCGATGGCCGGGGCGGAGCAGGTCAGAGGAGGAACGTCGGGCGAGTGGCAGTGGAGGGTGACCTTAGGGGAACGAACAATGACATAAACATCAAAACTCGGAGGTCCGCGCGGATTTCTCGGATGGGCGGCGGCGCCTCCGGCGCCGCCACTGGCGCGCTCCGCGCGCCAGGGAGGGGGGTCCAGCGCGGATCCGAGAAATCCGCGCGAACCTCCAATTTTTATGTCTATATAGTTGTTCGTTCCCCTACACCTATAGTCAACTTGCATAGTGAGGATGGGCAACCTTCCCAAGGGTACCCTTGCATCCTTGCCTCGGCCCATTCTTGGCCACTCTCGTTGGCCGCGCCCCGCTCGAAAAGCTTCGAAGTGGGCGTCCAAGGCACTTGCATCCTTATCGCGCATCCTTATGATGAGGGCCGACTGTATGTGGGGGGTGAAGACAAGGGACTCTTGTCTTCACCCCCCAATGAGGTCACTCCCCATTACCACCCGCCCGAGAAAATGCATGGTAGGTTCACGCGGCGATGGTGCGCCGGCGACTGGCGAAGGCGTTCAAGGCTTAGCTCTGCACGATAAAACGACGCGGAAGCACTGATGGGCACAGTAACGCCAGAGGGCCCGACGGAATTCAACCTTGAACGATCGGGGCCGCGATCGATTCAAGGTTGAACGATCGATGCGGGGTCAAGAACCTTGGCGCGCCCCGACGCCGCACGAACCTGCCGTACCCATACTACTCTTCCCTCGCTTTCCCCCTCTTGGGCCTCCTGGGGGGCCCCGTCGCCACCTCTGGATTCACCTCGAGATCCTAGTCAGAACGCGCCATGGGAGCGGTCTGGAGGGTAGCGGTGTGGGGAGTAGAGCACCCCGTGGCGGCGATGGCCAGGGCGGAGAAGGATATCGAAGCGGCACTCGGAGAAGAAAAAGCTGCATAAACATAATTCCTCGTGGTATCCTCATGGGGCGTCGTGGGAACTTCTTGTGCCGTCTTGAAGCAATACTGGGCCGTCTTGGAGAGCTCTTGAGCCGTCTTGGAGCACTCTGAAGCCGTTCAGGGAGCCTGTTGGACCGCATTGAGGGCTTCCTGAGGCCTTCTGGACACGTCCTGGGACCTGCTGGACTCGAGGAACATTTAGCAGGAAGCCCCAGAAATCACGAGGGGAGCCCCAAGAGCCCCGCGAGACCCTTGGGAAATCCGTGAGTTCGGTATCTCGGCCTCTTGAAGAGTATTTGCATGAGGACTGAGGATTCGTCAGGACATGTGGAAACGCCACTCTTGTTCATGTACGGATTAATCGATGTGTGCCAGTATCTCTGTACGCATGTATGCATTATTGTAGTTGTTTATGTATGTGTATGTCTTAATGTATTGGTTGATTCGTGTATGCAGTGATGTAGTTATTGTTTATTTATGATGTATGTATGCTATATATATATATATATATATATGTACCTACGTTCAGCTGTACTGCTACAATGAATACCTATATACATACAAAAATGATTTGGCCAGACCTCGCCAGGAGGGCCCAAGACGGCTCCTGATGGCTTCCAGAGGGCCCCGAGCTGGGCCAAGAGGGCTGCAAGACGCCCACGATGGCCCAAAGACAGTGTCAGAGGAGCTCCTTCGCCCCAAGACACCCCAAGAGGCCTCCCAAGGGAGCCCCAAGAGGCCGAAATCGCCAAATTCCGCCCGTAACAGCTACAGCAATTTCGCGCCTTCCCGACGTCCAAGATGACCCAAGACGCCCCCCAGATCGCCCCAAGATAACCCAAGAGGCACTCGAGAGTCCCCCACGACGGCGCAAGGGGGCCACACGACGGCCCAGGAGGCGCCAAAGACGGCCCAGAACGGCCCCCGAGAGGCATCAAGGACCCCCACAGAAGCCCCCAACAGGCCCCAGCTCCCCAAGATGCCCCACAAAGCCCCCAAGAGACGCCAAACCAGCCCCCAAGAGGGGTCAAAACTGCTTCCGAAAAGCACCCTGCAAGCCTCTTGGGCCTCTTGGATTAGTACGGTGGAGGTCAGAGAATCAAGACACGTATATATATATATATATATATATATGTGTATATATATATATATATATATATATATATATATATATATGTACAAGTGGCACGTGTGTGCCCAGGCTCATACAAAAAAACCTGAAAGGTCGTTTGGAGCAGGAAGACACCATGACGGCGGGATCGGAGATGGAGAATGGGAAGCTGACGCGGCGCCACGAGGGCGTACCTAAGAGAAGGGGAAGAGGCAGGAGGTGAACGCATATTAATATAAGATCGAGGAAGGGCCCCCCCCAAAGGATTGAGCGAAGCGATTAACACGAGAAATAAGTACGATTCCCACAAACCGATTTGTTACACTAGATGTGGAGGGAAAGAGAAAGACGAGAAGAGGGGAGGATAGCTGTTGGGAGTGAAGTGCAATAGTGGGGTCGCACTCGAGCGCAAGCGGGGTCGCCACACCTTGCGATGTGTGTACCACGGGCCCCCATGAAGCTTCAGACGGCCCGACCAATATGCCGGACAAGATTCCAGGAGGCCCCAGAAGGGGTCGTTCGGGATCGAGGTTGCGAGGATGTCCATGGAGGCCTCAGGAGGCCCGACCAGGAGGCCGCAAGAGGCTCCAGGAGGCCGAAGGAGAGTACGTCTGGGCTCGAAGTTGCGAGGATGCCCATGGGGGCCGCAAGAGGCTCCAGGAGGCCCGACCAAGAGACCGCAGGCCCCAGGAGGTTCCAGGAGGCCCCCAGGATGCTCCGAGGTGGGTTCTGGGGTACCAAAAGGTACGTCGGGGCTCGATTTTCGGAGGATGTCTCAGGCGACCCAGGAGGTCCCAGGAAGCCCCCAGGAGGCTCCGAGGCGGGGTCTGGGGTACCAGAAGGTACGTCGGGGCTCGATTGTCGGAGGATGTCTCAGACGAAACCGAAATTCTTTGAGAATAGGGGTCAACATCATCGAACTTACATGGTGTTTTCCGAAGGTTCTGTGTTAGGATGTTGAAATTCCCACGTGTTTTGGACCCTGACGCCACGATCTGTGTGAGGGGTGCCACCGCTTTTCAGAATTTCGAGGATGTCCCTACCGAAACGGCCAGACAAATCGCGGACGCGGCGCGGCCTTGGATTAATCGCCTCTGAGCTCTATTCCCTCGGAGAGGGGCGTATGATAATGTATATATATATACAAATACATATATACATGTATATGTATATATATATATATATATATATACATATACTAGAACCATCGCGCGCGCTCAATTTCTAGCTAGGATAATCGTCATCGTCATCATCGCCATCCTCATCACCATCATCTCCGGCGTCATCGTCAGCGGCATCGTCATCATCACCATGACCATCACCATCATCACAATCGTCACCATCACCACCATCAGCAGCAACATCGTCATCACCATCGTCATCATCGCCATCGTCGTCATCATCGTCAGTATCTTCACCTGAATCATCAACATAATCATCCTCATCATCACCATCGTCATCATTATCGTCGTCGTCGTCGTGATCGTCGTCATCGTTATCGTCATCATCAGCGTCATCATCTTCATCATCCGCCCACTCTTGCATCACAAGCACCATAAACAGCATCGCCACCATTATTATCAGCATCGGCGTTATCATCCTGACCATCACCAGCATCATCATAATGATCGTCAACATCACCATCCTCAATGGCATCATCGTAATCGTCATCATGATCGTCAGCATCACCACCATCATAATCATCATCACCATCACCCACATCACGATCACCATCATCATCATCAGCCCCACTGTCAACATCATCATCATCATCATCTTCTTCCTCATCATCATCATCATCATCATCGTCGTCGCCAGCTTCATAATAGTCGTCATCATCGTCATCATCTTCGTCACCGTCGTCTCCGAAGCTCCCCCGCCGAACTCGAGGATATCTCCGCAGCGTCTTGCATGCCGCGTGAGCAGTGTTGGGGATTTAGGTTGTGGGCCTGAGGCCGCCCTGCATAATCATCATTGCCATTATCACCAGCACTGTCGTCACCAACACCACCGTCACCATCGTTACCACCATCGCCTTCCTCATCGTCACTGCCATCGCAACCGTCATCATTACCATCAGCATCCTCATCACTATCATCATCGTCATCATCATCATCATCATCATCGCCGTCGTCGTCGTCGTCGTCGTCGTCATCAGCATCAACATGACAATCATCAACATCATCATCTACAACAAAAGATCATCATCGTCATTTTCATCATCCTCAACATGTTCTTCATCGGTCTGCTCCGGTTCCCTTTTCGTCCTCCTTCTCGTCCTCCTCGTCATCTTGTCTTCCCGTTCGATATCTCCTGTCGACCCCCCCTCCTCCACCTTCCTGTTCTTCTCTCGTTCCTCCTGAGGAGGAACGAGAGAAGAACAGGAAAAGCAAAAGGGGAAATATCATCCACGCACAACAGCACACCAGCACACACCACCACAGGAACACACCACACACCAGCACGAACCAGCACACACCAGCACACCAGAAAAAGACGCCAGCACACCAGCACACACCACCGAACCACCAGACCAAACACACACACACTCGCACACACACACACACACGCACACACCAGCACACGAGCACACCCGCATAATATCACACACCAGCACACACCAGCACAAACCAGCACACACCACCACACCAGCACTACACCAGCACACGCCAGCAATGGCTTTGACCCCACGACCCCCGAAAGTAATGTTTCAAACTTTGCGAGCACTTCCTGCTTCGGCACGCAAAGAAAGCACATGCACGAACGCTTCGGCACGCAGAGAAACACGGGGAGGAGGGAGGAGGAGGAGGAGGAGGGAGGAGGGAAGAGGGAGGAGGGAGGAGGGAGGAGGGAGGAGAAAAAAGGAGCAGGGAGCAGGGAGCAGGGAGCAGGGAGGAGGCAGGAGGGAGGAGGGAGGAGGGTGAGGGAGGAGGGAGGAGGGAGGAGGGAGGCGGGAGGATGGAGGAGGAGGGACAGGAGGAGGAGGAGGAGCAAGAGGAGGAGGAGGAGGAGGACGAGGAGGAGGAGGAAGAGGAGGAGGAGGATCCCACAGAGAGCTCCACCAGAGGCACCGGCTGCAGCGTCTGCATGCGTCACCGCCGCCCATTACGGCGCACCCCCCACCTCGCTCGCGGCACCAGAGAAAGCTCCATCGAAAACCCCAAGACGACGTCGCATGCACCCCAACCACCCGCGAAGTCCACCCGAGGCCCCTGTGGCAATTTTTGCATGCGCCACCGCCACCCATGAAGGCGCAACCCTCGCACGCTTCGCGGTGCCATAGAGGGCTCCACCAGATACCCCAGTGACACTGCCATCTTGGCCTGTCACTGTCGGAGGTTCCACGGACGACGACTGCCACGACTGCGGCGTCCGCCGCATGGGCGGGCGCTTCGCCGGGAGTCCTTTTCATTTGAGGGAGCGCCAGCGACAGCGGACAACCCCCTAGGCGGCTCCTGTCGTCGCCCTCCTCCCAAACGACGCGGGTTCCGCGCGCCTTGGCGAGCCGCGCGCGTTCGGCCGCGCCGGAGCAGCGCTGGCTCGCCAGCCGCAGCGCTGTAATCTCGCCCGGGGAGAATTGCTCTGGCGGCGCCTCCCCGTAGTGGGTAGGCCTGTTCTTCCGGCCGACGTCTGCGCACCAACAGAATATTTGTCTCGAGTGCTCGCACAACTCATAGCAGATGTCAAGGTCGGCCCGGTCGGCGTACAGGTCGGGCCACGTCTGGCGCAAGTATGCGACGACGACTTTGATGGCCGGCATGTAATGTGAGCATATGATTAAAAAATACCCCCCCCCCCCTCCCCCGGGGGGCCCTATCCGTGAAGAGTTGGGCGTACTACTAGAATCTGGGGGCCGAAACTGATTTTTTAATCGTCCCCCCCCCAGCAACTTTAATCGTCCCCCCCCATTCCCCCTGACTGCGGTTTTCGAGGAACCGCCAGAGGAGGCCGCCTGGAGGCTCGCCAGGGAGGCGGAGGCACGCAAGCAGAAGCAGGAAAATGACGAGCCAGACGAGCCAGACAAGGACAAGGACGAGCCAGACGAGGCCAGGGTGGCGGAGGCCCCCGCCGCGATGAAGGCGAGCATCCTCCTGTCCGCTGCAGCAAGGACGGAGGCCAGGCTGGAACGCGACCAGAAGAACTACGGAGGCGAGCCTGGCAGGAAGAGGAAGGCGAGGCAGGGCGGCGTGGGGAGCAGGGAGAGGCGCACGCTGGAGAGGGCCGTCCTGCAGGAGGCGCGCAGGCACCTCGCGGCCTGGGAGGACGCCTGACTGCCTGGCTCACTCGAGGGCCGGGCGCGCGCGCACGCCCGGGCTGGCTGCCTGCCTGCCCTGCAGCACCGAAGGGGCGCAGCGAGACGGAAAAGGAAGGCAGGACAGGGGGGAGGGGTGGGAGGCCACCGTCGTCCGAGAGGACGCCGTCCGAAAGGACGCCCTCCTCCCTCCCTCCTCCCTCCTCCTCCTTCCTCCCTCCGAGGAGGGAGGAAGGAGGGAGGCAAAAAAACAGTTGTTTTAATCGTCCCCCCCCCTGCTCCTCCTTGCCCCCGTCCCCGACGACTACTACTACTACTACTACACACTACTACTACACTACTACTACTACTACTACTACTACTACTACTACTACTACTACTACTACTACTACTACGACTACTACTACTACTAACTACTACTACTACTACTACTACTACTACTACGACTACTACTACTACTACTACTACTACCACTACTACTACTACTAACTACTACTACAACTACTACTACTTACTAAGACTACTACTAACTACTACTACTACTACAACTACTACTACTACTACTACTACTACACTACTACTACTACTAACTACGTAACTACTAAACTACTACTACTACTACTACTACTACTACTACTACTACTACTACTACTACTACTACTACTAGTACTACTACTACTACTACTACTACACGACGACTACTACTACTACTACTGCTACTACACTACTACTACTACTACTACGACTACGACTACTACGACAGGGAGGAAGGGAGGAGAGAAGGGAGGAAGAAGGAGGGGGGGGGAGAAGAAGGAGGGAGGGAGAGGAAAGAAGGAGGGAGGGAGGAGACAGGGAGGGAGGAGGAGGAGGGAGGGAGGGAGGAGGGAGGGAGGGAGGGATACAGGGAGGGGAGGGGAGGAGGAGGGAGGAGGAAGGAGGGAGGGAGGAGAGGGGGGAGGGAGGAGGAAAGGGAGGAGGGAGGAGGGAGGAGACAGGAGGGAGGGAGGGAGGAGGGAGGAGGAAATTGAGGGAGGAGGGAGGCCGGAGGAGGAGGGAGGAAGGAGGGGCGGAAGAGGAGAGGAGGGAAGGGCCGACCCCCCCCGCTCCGAATTGCCTGCCCTCCCCCCCCCCCCCCCGGCCCTCCAGACGGCCCGGGGGGCAACCGTAATTGCCCCCCGGAGAACTTTATTTGTTCGCCCTGGGGGGGCCCTCCGCGGGCGGCGCCCCCTCCCCCCCTTATGTGGGCCCAACCAGGCCGGCGAAACTATTTTTAAAAAACGTCCGCCCTCAAATTTTTTGTTTTAATCATGCGCCTTCATTACAGCGCTTTCTTCGGTTCGGCAGCCATCTGCCCGTGGAGCAGGAGCGGGGGGTTGAAGAGGTAATTGACGGTTCGGCACGGACCGACCCCGATCACAAGGACGCTCTTATAGTTGGTCTGGGCGGTCTGCGCGTGAGTCTCAGGCAGGAAGAGATCCGCATGCCCCGCGAAGTCGCAGAGAATTTACTTCGACCGGGACCCCGAGCCACCGAAACCACGGATCAGCGCCATGTCGCGCAGAGGAGCGCCGACGTCCAACGAATCCAAGAATTGCTCGGTCAGTCGCGCTGCAGCTGCTAACCAAAAGTGCAGGTCTTGGCGCAAATCGCAATACCCGTGCTTCGGCTGCTCCGCTCGGCGCCGCATCGGGTTCGCGTGGGCGCCGAAAATGTGACCGCCATTCCGAGCAAAGAAAGCGTCCAAATCGGGCATGTTGACGATCTGACCCTGCCGCAGAGACAGCCAGACGAACGCGCCGTCGGCGAGGGCGTCGCGGACAGGGACAGAGAGCGCGTTGCGGACGAGCACCACGTTTACCAAGATTTCCGCCATTACATCAGCCCGGCAGGCCTCCGGCGTTTCCAACAGCGGGCGACCTTCTGCCTATAGAAAACATAGATCCAGCCGGTGGCTTTCGCGTCCCGTCGGCGCCGCGGGTTCACGCACTTGTAGCAGGCGAAGTCCGCCGTTGCCAACTGCTTCTCGATGCCTCGAAGATTATCGAAGGCGCCCCGGCGCTGGCAGAATTACACCATCGTCTGGCACCTCGCGTGGAAGCTCGAAGTCGAAATCCACGCGGGCGCGCCCGCCCCGGCGCTGAGCGCCCCAGGCTCGGACACCATGGGAGAGCGAGGCACGAAATTCACGGTGGCAGAGTCTGGCGCGCGATGGTAGACGTCTGCCCGAGGGCGGAACCGGCCGCCGAGCAGATCCAGCGGCGGGAACAGGAAGTCTTCGTCGCCGAGAGGAGAGGGGGTCTGGCAGCCCCCCCGCGCCAGGCTGTGGGCGAAGTCCCGGATCCGCAGCAAGTCGCCCTTGGAGAGGCAACGGAGGTCGCGCATCAGGCGGGCAAGGTTGCCGTCGTCGTCGGGCGCGCTCGCGGCCTCGACGCGCCGGCGTTTGGCGGCTCGGGCGCCTCCGTCGGACGCCGCTGCGATCTCCTCCTTGGACCACTCCGCCTGCAGGAAGCATGTCGGGCCGTCGTCACGCAGGAGGCCCCCCTTCTTGCTCCCGGACGTCGTGGCCACGCATGCGGCGCAGGTCATCTTGCCCTCTGCGAGCATCCGCTCGCAGCGCTCCTGGGCCGGCGCGCCACTGAGCTTGCCCAAGGCAGTCGATGTCAACCACGCGAGGCACGGGAAGTGCTGAGCGACCAGCGGGCGCACGGTGCCCTCATCCTGCCCGTTGAGCTGGCGGGGCCTGCCTGCAATCAACTCCGACAATTCTTGCTGCAGCGCGGGCCCCGTCTTGAAGGGGGCCCCGCGCCCGCCCGTCCAGAGCTGCACGCCGAACTGCTCGGCCAACTCCCGCGGCCTCGGCTGGCGCGCGGGCGCGCTCAGTTCCGCGGCCAATGCGTTCAGGCCCCTCGCTTCCAGACCGCCGGAAGAAGCGAGCGGCGCCCCCTGTCCGACTTCGGGGGCAGCGGGGCCTGCCGGGGCAATGCCGTCGGCAGCGGCCGCGGGGCGGCCGGCGGGGCGGCCGAGAGGCGCGGGGCCGGCTCCTACAGGGAAGGCAAGCGGCGCGGCGAGCAGCTACACCATGTGGCCATGGCGCTCCCCCCCGCAGGTGTAAATTCAGATGAAGAGCGCTGCCCGTTGCAATGCCGCACTTGGAGAGCGTGTAAACGTCTCCCAGCTGGCGCGCAGCATGATTCAAAACCGCATATCATGAGGTGCGCCCTCTTTCTCTGGAATTTGCGATTTGACATGTTTGATCGTGTCAGTAACATTTGCATCCGCGGTTATGGTCTCCCCCGTCAGTGTCTGGACGAATACTTGCGATGTACATCCTTCGTCGCTTTCTGTAATCCGCGACGGCAATGAATCCCATATGTTGCACATACTCTGTGAATAAACATGAACTATGCGGTGACAGAACATGAAACCCACGCATAAGCAGACAAGAGCGATGCATCCCAAAAAAGGAAGGTGCCTCCGCATCCCGATTACATTCCGCTCGGTGGTCGCCTCGCCGCTGGCGGCGTACCCGTCTTTTTCTCAACTGTCTGGTAAACGAGGTTGCGGTCGCGTGGTCATAGTCGGGCCATTGGCATAGCGAAGCGCGATCGTGTGACGGAACGTCGCTTACGATAATGAAATTTGGCAGCGGGGGCCGCTCAAACGTGCACCCTACACGCGGCTTGTCATTAAATATACCATATGCCATTAGCGGGTCCAGCGCGCCCCGCCGAAAACCATTTTTCTGAACTGCTCCATTACGGACGGCGCTATCCATTCGCACGCTGTCAAAAACGCCGAGGTCATTCTGCAAATGCAGGCTATCGACTGAACAAATCACGACGGTTACACAATACACAATAGAAAGGATCACCATTCGCAAACTGGGCGTGGTAGTACCACCTCCAAGGCGCTGGCCACAGCGCAAAGCGATTGAGCCAATGCTTGGCGATTATGACGGTGGCGATGATGCTATGCTGTAATGAAGGTGGTGTTCTACCAGGTGGGCCTCGGACGTCGTGGTCTCTTCGGTGCGTAGGTCGGTCGCCGGCGTCGGCCGCCCTCTGGAGACCGCTCCCGCTTCCTGGGACCATGAAGAAAACGATCCTCCAGGAGGGGCGCGTCGAGGTTCGACCCTCTGGTTCGTTCGGAGGGTTGTGCGGCTCCTGCGGGAGCTGTCTGGGGGACTTGGGTTGTGCGCCTGAGGCCAGCATGCCTGGGTGATGGGCCAGTGTCCTGCTGGATGCCTGCTGGGATGTGTGAAGTCTTTCGGGGGCATCCTGTAAAGCTCTCGAAAACCTCTTGGGTGCTTCGTGGCTGCCTCTTGGGGCCTGGTGGAAGTCTTTTGGGAGCCTTGCGGGGTCCTTTCGGCGCCTTTTGGAGGCCTCTTGGAGGTTCCTGGGGGCCTCTCAAGGCCTCTTGCGGACTCCTGGGGGCCTCTTGGGAGCTTCTGGTGGGCGAGGGCTCGAAATGTCAGTTCGTGTTCCCCATCTGGGGCTCCTCTTGAAGTGTTCTGGGAGCTCTTTTGGGCCGTCTTGGAAGCTTCCTGGGCCGTCTTGGGGCCCTCTTGGGTTGTCTCGGTGGTCTCTTGGGGGCCTCTTGGCTCGTCTTGAGGCGATCTTTCGGGCCTCTTGGGCGGTCTTGGAGCGTCTGGAAACCGAACTGGGGAGAACGCCAAAACCCTTCAAAAACCACTAAAAATCAATGACAATTCCTTCTTGGGCCCTCCCAGGAGTGCTGTCGGACACCTGCTGGGACGCTTTGGCAGTTTTTTCAACCGTCTTGGAGTGCTCCCGGGCCGCTTCGGACCTCTCTTGGGCTGTCCTGAGGGCGTCCTGGGGCCATTTTAGAGGGTCCTGGGAGCGTCCTGGCGTTCCGGCGGGGGGGTGACCACAGCCACTGGGCAAAGTAAGCCCCCCCCCCCCCTGGTCCTCCCCATATGTTATATATATATATATATATATCTATCTATCTATATATCTATATATATATATATATATATATATATATGTGTGTGTGTGT